CTACGTCCGTATCATGTCTAATGACACTGCATAATCGTCCTTGCGCATGTCCTTCACGTATTTGAGGACTGCCTTTTCAATGTCAGGGAACTTGCCAGATTTGGGTCCGCGGAAAGCCCATTGCATGCAGTTAGTAGCCATGAGCATGCCGCGCTGTTTTTTTCAGTATTGGATCCGGATTTCGTCGACCCAGAAATGTCTGCCCGAAGCGCGGTGCCCGTGCTCTAGCGCGTAGTCAAGCGCCTTCAGCTTGAACGCGGCAGTAAAGCTCGCATACCGCCCCATGGTGAAACGGCGCTACAACAGACGATCACAAAGCACAAAAAAAAAGTGGTCTTAGGAAAAAACACATTGCTGCGGTATGAACACAAGTCTACCAACAGGTGGCCGCCGCTGTAACAGTGCAGGATGTCAAAACAAGCGTGCCGGCTGACGGAAGCGAAGCGACCGCATTTTTTTCTTCTTTTCGTCAGTTATGGACGTTGTCAGTCTGTCACGCATACAGTTGGCGAGTTTTGAAGAGTTATTAACGCAACATTCGACAGATAATAAAGGCGATGATCATCGGCTAGACTTGGCACCAGACATATCGATGCGACAAGTTTAGGGTGCGATCATTATTCCGGGAAAAAAAAAACGAATTTAGACGATAAAATTTTGGGGTGCGTTCATTACGCGAGTGCGATCACTACGCCAAGAAATACGGTAGCACGATCTGACTTTTGGTAGGATGCAAGTGACAATCTGTAAAATACATAACATTTTAAAACTTACTTTACTTGGAGTATATAAGCTGGCATAACAAGCTTTTAAGTTAAAAAAATGATGAATCAAATTGAGGGTAATATTTTAATTTAAAGAAGCCTTGCAACATTTTTTGATAATCTTACTAGTATCATCACAGAGTGTGCAATGGAAGTCACAGGCGTTTGACTCATTCGAGACATCAGCATTAATGCAGGCACTACAGAATCGGGCCATTGAACAAACCTACATAAACATAGTGAAAGAAATCTACAGTGGATACACAGCCACCATAGTTCTCCATAAAGAAAGCGACAGAATCCCAATAAAGAATGGTGTAAGGCAGGAAGACACGATCTCTATAATGCTATTCACCGTGTGTTTAGAGGATGTCTTCAGGACCATACATTGGAAAGAGTTAGGCATAAGAGTCAGCAATTGTCTTTGTAACCTGCGATTTGCTGATTACATTGCCTAGATGAGTAACTCAGAGGCTGAATATCAGCTCATTATTACAGAATTGGACATGGAAAGTAGAAAGGTAGGTCTGAAAATTTATACGCACAAAACTAAAGTAATGTGCAACAGTCTCGGCAGAAAACAGTTCAGATGAGTTGAGAGATGCTGGAAGTTGTAAAGGAATACCTCTTCTTAGGACAGGTAGTAACCGAACTCTCATGGTTTGGCGGATGTTTAGGCTGAGCTAAACTGTGAGAGTGAAATAACTAGAAGAATAAGAGTAGGGTTGATCACATTCGGCAAGCATTCTCAAATCATGAATGAAAATCTGCCACTAACCCTCAAAAGGTGCTCCTGCTAATACTTTGCTATGGAGCAAAAACCTGGAGCCTTACAAAGAGGGTAGAGTTTAAATTGAAGACGACACAGCGAGCGATGGAAAGGAAAATGATAGGTGTAACCTTAAGAGACCAGAAGATAGCACAGTGAGTCGGGGAACAAACCGGGGTTAAGGATATGGTTGTTGAAATCAAGAAGAAGAAATGGACATGGCCCTGGCACGTAGTACGTAGACAGAATAATCACTGGTCCTTAAAGGTAACTGACTGGAGTCCCAGAGAAAGGAAATGCCCGAAGGTTGTACAGAAAGTTAGGTGGGCTGATGAGATAAAAAAGTTTGCAGGTATAATGAGGCAACGGAAAGCACAAGACCAGGTTGATTGGCAAATCATGGAAGAGGCCTTTTCCCTGCAGTGGGTGTAGCCAGTCTGATGATTATGATGATGATGATGCAAAGCTTTTTCAAGTAACCATGGAATTGATTCACCGAAAAGCTTATTGCCTCACAAATTCACTGTCACAAAAATTTTTATAATTCGTCCAGTACGAACAGAGTTGTAAAGATTTGTCACATGCTGCCATTGCATCATCTCTTCTTGTTCATACGAAAGTGCTGGAAGCTAAGCAGGGAGGGATGGCATGGGGAAAGAAAATACATCACGTGCGCCTAGTGACCATGAGCACTTCTTCTCTCTTTTTGTCTTGGAATAACGCGGATTTTCAGTGCGATCATGCAGACACGCGTAGCCAAGTCATGGCTTCCTATGGTGGCCCCAGTAACGACCAAGTTCGCCATACTCAAATTAGCCAGCGGCTGATAAAATGACTGCGACAAGTGATTTTTGAGCTTGTGATGTCATATGCCTAAAGATCAGAGTAATTTTTATCAGACTGTGAGAATCTATTGTGAATTGCAGATCGCATTCTGCACTATAATATTTGGCTAGCATGTTCTCGGTTGCCTTGGCTACTGATTGGCAGCATTTTATGACCAGGCTCAAAAAGTGTAGCAGGGCCCCTGTAAATTTGAAGTAGGACAGAGCGGCAGAGTGGATTTTTCTTCAGTGGGTGTTTTCACGGCTTATCACTCCTACACTGCAGTGAAACCACCTTTACAAGCGATTACATGCGGATTGGTAGTCATCTATTCATTCATCTCAGATACGTTGAAATTTTCAATAAATCAAATTCAAATTGAAGTGAATTTGAATACTATACTATTCGTTCAAATGTTGGAAACCTTCGCATATTCGCACAAGCCTACATAGAACCTGTTGCAATGCGTCTAAATGAAATTCCAACAGCAGTGAAAATGATTCAAGTGATGGAGCAATGACGACGTCATTCAGCAAGTCAATCCCCATCTCTGTAACTTGGAAAAAAATGAACACCTGTACATTTTACAACGTGGCAGGAATGGGTGTATGCATTTCTCGTTGTCAGTTCTGCTGGAGTGATGATTCAGAGCTTTTAGGTATTCATACCTATTGAAGTTTACCAAGCTGCATGAAAGAAGAAAAAGAAACTTTAGACTAGCTAATTGTCGTTGGCTCGCAAGAGTTGTGACACGTGCTTGCAAACGAAGTGCCGGAACATGCACCTGCTTGGCAAACATCTAAGCACCCTGCTTGGAGCTTTAAATGCGAAGCATTTTTTAGCGATCTTCGGCCACTTTGAGCATATCTATCTATCTATCTACCTATCTATCTCTATTTATTTATCTATCTCAATCTATTGACTAACCGCAACCTACCTACCTACCTACCTACCTACCTACCTACCTACCTACCTACCTACCTACCTACCTACCTACCTACCTACCTACCTACCTACCTACCTACCTACCTACCTACCTACCTACCTACCTACCTACCTACCTACCCACCTACCCACCTACCCACCTACCCACCTACCTACCTACCTACCTACCTACCTACCTACCTACCTACCTGCCCGCCCGCCCGCCCGCCCGCTGCCGCCGCCCGCCTATTCACCCTTCCATCCATCTATCCCATCCCATTCCATCCATTCTTCCCATCCCGTCTGTCCGTCCATCCGTTCATCCATCCATCCAACTCGCTCACGTTTAGGTGCTCTTGGGAGAGGGGTCACCCCTTTAACTTGGCGGGAACCAAAATTAGCATGTGAAAGTAAGATGGTTTGATGAATATGACGCACTGGTCAAGACATAATAATGTCACAATCCCTTTGTGTACAGCGTCAAACACTTCCTTCCAGTATGCGGGTATGTGCCACAGGAGATTAACGTATCTACCCAAGAATGATGGGAACACACGTGGGCAATTTGAACATGCGAGCATTGAAAAATGCCTGACATCGATAGCATTAGCCCGAGGAATGCAAAAAATAACTGTCAGCGTCCCAGCTGAAATTGAACCCAAGCATTCTGCGTGGCAATGAAGCATTTTACCATAGAGCTACGCCAGGTTTTGAAACTGCTTTTCAAACAGACGTTAAACTTCGTGAAACGTCAATAGGGGTTGCAGTGCTGTCTACCCAATTTTATAAACATTACATATGTATTCCTTTGATACAGTTGTCACGTCGGGCTAATGTGAATTGTGGTTAGTTGTCATGCGCATAAGTTGACTAAAGTAGCAGCGCCCAGGACCAGCATCTTCGCGAGCATCAGCGCTGCGTATCACCTCCTGGTGTTGCTAATACGTATGTTCCAGTTTGCATCATTGCGCAAGTGCAAACAACTAGTTATATAAACATCTGCAGCTCCTCAACATATGTCTGTGCATACAACATTTGTAGATATACTTAGCGTGATTTCATAACGTGTCGCTCAATGAAAGAATGGCAACCGGATCACCTTCCCTCCGCATGCTTCGCATAACGTCGATTCCCAGATACGTGGGATCTACCTAATTTTCTTCCAATACATCATTCATGTTCTTTTGGTGCGGGTTCCAAAACTATTGCTGCGTATTCTAGGATGGTTTTAAGAAGCTTAGTGTACACTGTCAGTTCACCTTGAGGAGAAGTGCCAGTCAGTTTACGCCTGAAAAAACCTAGCTGCATAAGTGCTCACATTTCACATATAAAGTACTGCGCATGGTTTTCTTTATTCTTTATTAATCAGATACCCCGCAGCGCCCGAAGGCGTTATAGCAGGGGGGTTACATCAATAAATGACGTACATCTCCGTTCACACACACAATACAACTTTGTTCACACATAAATAACTGAAATACGTTTTCGTTCACACACATAGTAGAATTTTGTTCACACATCAATACATCTTCCTTCAGGTTACAACACGGGTTTACAGCAGTGAATAAAATACACCTTCGTTCACACTATGTACTTACAATTCAGTTAGCCTGTTTCACTGTTTAATCTAATGGTTAGTCTATCCACTGCGTTATGCTAGACTGCTGTCGTGGTAAAGGCCCTATCGCTGTATTTTGTTGTTCCTGTGGCTTGTGCAGTGGAAGCTGAAATAGCGATAGAGACCCGACAGCTCTTGGAGACTCGTCGATTAAGTGAAGAGGAGCGGGACCAGCTGCACCGCCTTGTTGGTGATCTACGTGAAAGCATTGACCAGGCAAAGATTGAGAAAGACGCTGCACACCGGGATGCTGCCAACACTTTTCGAGGTGACCTGTTGTGTTAATTATTGTGTTATGAAGTTCTGCTCCATGAATCACTTAATGTCTGCTTTACTGCCTGTGCAGACCTCATCGCTCACGCTGTCATTAGCATGTGTCTATGTGCGACACTGTTACATGTGCACTGTCACTACAATGCCTGCGTTGCTCTGCTAACAATGCATACTTTCAAGTTTTTTTCTCAGCGCATGAACATAGGGAAAAAAAAATGCTCGAGTAGACTTAAAGAGCACAGTACTTTTTGTCTACTTTCTTCTTTTTTTCTGATGTTCGCATGCTGAGGAAAAAAGCATGGCAGTATGACTACACACCAAGTAGCCCAAGCTTCCACTCTTGTAAAGTGCATACCCTGTTTTGCCTTTAGCAGTAGTGTGCCTGTGAGATTGAAGCACTCCTTGAGCAGTGACATTCACAAGCTCCTACAGTGTGCAGCTTGTATTGACCCTTGCAACAGTATAGTCTGCATATCTTAGCACATGATTGGCCACGTGGTTTTGTAGCAAAGAGGCCAATCACAGATTGGCATATGGTTACCTTGTGTATCCTTCCTTTGATGTAATCATGAATAAAATCCTTGTTATGCGTTAAATTATGACCAATGTCAACTATTGAGATAAAGTACTCATTAAATTTGTTCGCTAGTTTTGCACCTCTGCATATTTCATTATTAGTCAATTGTTTGGTAGATATAATAGCATTTACAGTGATCCCTCTGCTGTGCTAACTGTGCCCAAATAAAATTTGCTTACTTTAAGTTCTATTATTTATGGAGAAGATACCAAATTTTAAACAAGATGCTTGCACTCTTCACATGTTTAGGAACGTGTGGGCGAAATTTCATCCCAGTCGAGAGATCAAAAGTACTTCCATCATGAGTGTTTGGCAGTCATGGCTATTTTGAGCATGTGGCTTTTGTTAACTCCTCATACAAAAAGCAATGGCAAGCAGCCAGGTGACGATTTCAAGGGAACTCTAGACAGTGAGCTCTTTTTAGTTTTTACTAACCACCTTATGTCCTTTAAAAGTCACTTTAGCCTATTTCAAGTTTAGGTTGAATCTTCAGTTTTTTTTTTTTCGTGAAATAGAGAAACTAAACCCGTGAAAGCAAATAAAAAGAAATAAGCAATTTTTGGATGCATTTTTTACTCACATGTTCTTTTAATGGCCTACTCCGGCAATTTTTCAAGGCCAGTGGATCCCAATAAGTTCGCTGGGTACGTGCTTTTGCGCATTTTCATCATTTATGCCAAATTGCAGGCATGAGAAATTCGCTAACTGATTGAAAATTAATTTCAAAAGATTGCCTTGAAATGCTCATCTGGCTTGCTAGAATAATTAGCAACACTGTCTGTGTACGTTTTGCATTTCAATGAAAGTAACGCAGCTGATGGTATCGCTACAACGTTTATTGTGCTGGCCACAAGGCGACAGCAGCGGTGTTTGGCACAAAAAAGCTTACTTTCTTCCTCTGTGGTGTTTGGCTCGTGCTTTGCTGGCCTTGCTTTCACTGTGTTTATACGCCTCGCCGGTGGTACCAGTATTCGACTTACGGTTCTTACCAAATAGTACATCTTGCTTAGACAGTGCGCCGTTGGGTTTCAATTTTGGTATTGCGCCTTTTTTCTTATTAAAAATAATTTTCGAATTTTCTGAGCATTTCGGCTATCAGGCTCTTGACAAGAATGTCTCAGGAACATAGAAGGATTATTACCTTGACATGTTCGAAAAATCGCCGGAGTTGGCCCTCAAGAGCGATTTGAGAGTTGCTGATATTCGAATGATTACACAAGTTGGTGCAAAGCAGAGGAGACAATTTAAAGTGATCCAAGGGAAGATAAAGCTGCTATAATTAAGAGCAAGAGGCCTGTTATTTTGCCATATAATCTTTTGCGAGAAGTTAGGAAAATTGCTGTTAAAGTTATCTTTTCAGCCTTGCAAAAGTTAAACAGCTTGTGCAAAGAAGGCAATGCAGGAGAAATGACCCAGAAGTCAATTTGCGAGGTTAAACCTAAAAATATGTTCGTCGAGTGTGTGCAGAAGGTGTGGTTTGTAAGATTCTATTATTGTGGGGCAGGTACTGCATTGAAGCAGGCGTAGTTGTGCCTGTGTGTGTAAAGTTACTTGGTGCGCTAAGTTACTAGCACCTGCTACTAACCCAGCAGCACATGGCAAGAAGTGTTGTTTTACTGCAGTTTACTGCGGAGAAGCTGTCGTAGCCCGCTATGAAAAAAATACTGTTTAAAAAAATTTTGGAGGGGCTGTGCATTATGGAAGAAGGTGAAGAGTACGGTTGTGTCAGGTCTCCTTTTATCATTCCAATGTCGGCTCAGGTAAATTTTACAAACAGCTCTCAAATTCTTTTTAACAGCCAAGCTGCTCAAGTTGATTATAATTTTTCTGTTCGAAACAGAAGCGACAATCATCAAGAACTGGCACGTGCTCTCCTATTCTGCTTCACTCCCAGAACACATGTGCTTATTTTTTGGCCTGGCCTGACGTGTGTGACAATCACAGAGTGCAAGGACAAAATGCAGAGAAAGAAGGCAAAAAACAAGTTCTTCCCAAGCCGGGATTCTATGCTCTGCTAGCATGCCTTGCCAGCCGAGTTGTTAGGACACATACCCTCACCACTTTGTTATTCAGGCACGCTAGCAGCGCGTAGTATAGTTTAGCAAAGAGGAGGAGAAAAAGGAGGAAGTAAAGCTTAGCCCAGAAAAAAATAAAAAGACAGAAGAATAAGAAAAAAGGGATAGAAAGAAATGGAGTGAGAAAGAGAGAAAAAGGATAGGAAGGGAGAAGCGAGTGAGAAATAGACATAGGTGAAACTAATTTTCATGTGCTTCTGGGCATGAGGCCTCTGTTGTTGCTGTTTATTTATTGATGTTTTGAAGTCAATGCATTCATATGCTAATTAATTTACTTGAAAATGTAATATCGTATCAATCCTGTCCATTGTATTGCCGATCAACTGAAAGGCTAGATATTCCACTTCGAAGGTGCCTTTTCTCCAGTTTCCTCCACTAATTGGACTAGCTCTGTGATTTACCAGTGTTTCGCATTGTTCTGTGAGAGTGCAATTCAGGTCATGAAAATGTATTGTTTTTTAATCTCAAACCTTTGGATTGGGAAGTGACACCAGTTTGTTTATAGCAGTTGCTGAAACAACCAGAAGTGGCAAATGAGAGGTTTGTGAAAAAATGCACTACGGTCCAAATGTGATATTGCTTGTCAGTTTTTGCTGTTTCGAAGAGAGCGATATTGACAGGAAGAGGGCAAGATCTTGTTTCTCGTCTAGTATACTAGCTTATTTAATCGGAAAGTATGAACTAAGCAAGTTGTGCATTTTATTAGGCTCCTAGTTTCCCAGTTTTTCTCTGCTACCTCTCATTGTTGTGTGCTTCTCAAAACAGCTGGGCCCTCGAAACAGACTTTTAGAGTGTACTCTTATCACTTACATTTGCAGCACTAGGTCGTCTCGAGGATGTTCGTGAATGCAACAAATCTGTGCTTTCAAATGGCTCAAAAGATGGGAGCAGATACATTTTTACTGCATTCCTTATGAAAAAGTGCGTCAGTACTGACTCGTTGAGGTTCCTTACTCGGCGACAATTCTTCTTGACAGCACTGTGGAAGCTGCAGATCCCAAGTGAACGCCTGCTACAGCGCCAAAAAATAATACTTGAGTTTTTTTGTTTTCTCATTTGTTTTGCTGAAATAAATGCTGCTTTATTAATTATAATACTCAAACAGTTTCAAGAAATCATAGGTAAAACATAGCTATTGCTCAATTGGCCAGAATACCTTCTTTTTCTTTTCTTTGGTTATACAGCTCCTAGCACACCTGTTTTTCAAAGTAAACATGGCATCTGTGACTAGGTGGGTCATTGTGAAGCGTGCTGTTGAGATTTCCAAGAAGTATATACATGATTACGACACTAAAATGTAAATATTTTAATGTTTCTCCCATTCATATTTTCATCTATATCAATTTTTAATTGAGTTAACGTTGCGGGCAAGCTATACCGAAATCAGCTTGAAAGTGCTGCACTACTTGCGAAGCAACACCAATATGCGGAAGCCCTGTCTCTGTAGCTTTTACTCCACTGTCAAGATAAGTTGTCACCGGGTATAGACTTTGCTGTCGTGTTATGTCAGGAATTTGCTATCTTCGATTGAACCTTGGCTTGTGATGAGGCTCCAACAGTAGCTGCTGGCTTGCAGAGATGGAGACCTTACGGGCAGAGCTGGCGGCCGAGTGTGCCCGCTTGCGGGAACAACATCAGGAGGAGCAGCGAGTGCTGCGAGCCGAGGCAGAGGCGAGACTGCAACGGGAAAGGGCTTTCTGGAAGGCCAAGGTGTGTGTGCTCTTGCATGTTTCAAGTTACTTTTATTCAAAGGAAATTGTAATAGCTGTATTTTCTAGGTTTACTGCTGACATGTTCTTATGCAAGAGTGTGCTAGTATATGAGGAAAGTCATGCGCGCATGAGCAAGGAACATGTTTATTTTTTATTTTTTTTATGATAAATTATGCAGGTGACAGCATTGGTAAAATAGTTTAATCTTGTTACAATGGTGGCACAACTGGAGCTGGACAGTTTCAATTGCACTATCTCGCTACCCTGCTCGCCTTTTGCAATATGCAAAATTTTTTCTACAAACGAGGTCGCGTGGGCAAGTTTTGCTTTCATTTAGTCAGTAAGGTCATCATCTGTGTGACAGGCTCCTTTTTAGTATGATTATGATTTAGCTGTGAGATTTTTTTTTATATTACTATAATTAATCATCACAAGCTTAGTGCTACTCTGTCTTCTGTCCTGCCAAATCGTTTGCCATTGATTGTACGAAACCACATGGTGCATTTATTTCTAAAGTATTTATTGTTTGCCAGTATTGTATTTATCTGTCCCTGCAGTGTTATTTTTTGTGCAAGATTTTTCATCAGTTTTTACGTTCAATTGCCACATGCTGTTGTTTGTGGCCAAAGTAATGAACCTTTCTTGTACAAATTCCTTACTTATTGCACGTTTTCATTTGCATAGTGTGTCAACATTGTTTCATCTTTTCTCCCAATGTTCTATTTGTTTTTGTTTTGAATTTCTTGTTGCATGATGTAGCCCGCCCTAGAAATTACACTCCTAAATACGGGCCTTTAACAAGGTTTGTACAGCTTCTTAAAATCTTTGAATATCCTTGATATTGACAACATAAAGTCAAGGTTCCTTGAAACTCCTTGAAAACCAATGAGCTCCTTGTAATCCTTGCATATGCCACAATACTTGTTTGACTAGAGAAAATTAATGACTTATCACTGTGTCACGCACATTTTAAAGGGCCTTTCGCTTACGAATGACCACAAAATAAGCTGTGTTGACTAAAAGGCATTTGGGACTTTTAGTTTTAAATTGCACAGTTGCCACAGCGTCCAGTAACTAATATCGATTGGAAATTGAATCCAATCTAAGTCATATCACTTGGTCGAGTTATCGTCCCTAAATATGGCTAGTCTGCCAGTTCTGCCCTGTCTTTGAGCTAGGCCATGTCTGCAGTATTCGTAGAGTTTTCTAAATATACATTAGAGGGAACTCTGGTGCTAGTGTCTATGGGAGCTGCAACACATGGTGCTTCAGCAAGCATGAGAATTATGAGTATGACGTAAATTTTTCTAGTCTGCCTACTTTCGGCTTTGTTTCGCTTCGCGTGGCTTGAAGCTGCTTTGTCACGAAATAACAATCAGCAAATGCTGGGCAGTTACACTTCACCACATCAATATTTTAGGCTTACCATTTCGAATCACGTCACGAAGTTTGAAAAAATTTGTTTTTTCCTTCAAAACCAAATCGAAACAGCAATAAATGAAGCCACAAGTGTGATTCGTCGCCCGCTAGCACAAAGACAAGGCAAATTCATGCCATACCCATAATGTCCATGGTCGCTGCACCATCGTAGCCCCAGTGTCCCTTCTAGTTAATTTTAGGTAACTCTGTGGCAGCATTAATGCATGTGCAGGTGGCACTGTGGTACATCGGAGCAGGTGCTGTAGAAGCTGCGCAGGCAGAATCGGGGGTGCATCGTTTTTTTTTTCTTTTAATATTGTGCGCCCGCACGGAAGACTCATTTCTATGTGGGAAATGAGTCTTCAAATAGAAGAATGGGGCCGCTTCAGAGAGAGCAACACTTTTCGCGCAGTCTTTTTCCATAGAGAGCGCAGCACGTAGAAGTGTATACCCGCTGATGGCTGCCGACCAAACAAGTGCTTCCAGTGACTGCGACCGCACCCTTAGAAGCAAATCCACAGGGGCTGTTCAAGCAACACCTCCCATCCTTTTCATGCTCTTTTAAGAGGTGTTTCCTCTCAGCTTGCTGGCAGGATGCTATGTTGGAGATGGGCTGGCTTGTTTCATTGCTCGTTTGATCCTTCACTCGCGCGTATTTATCCACGGCTAGAATTTGCAATGGTGGATTATTTCAGACTTTATACGGGACACAATGGCTTTGGCAATGAAAAAAACTCATTGAGAGTATCCATATAATTGTTATTGCAATAATAAGGCGATTCCATAACCTAGCTGCTAGTTGGAAAAAGTTAGCATTGAACACCAGGCTGTGTGATGGTAGCGTCCATCAGGTGACTATGTATTAAAACCTTGAATAAACTGATGTCGGGATGCCTTACTGTACATGTATTGCTATCACTGTAAAGAAAAACAAGAAGCATTTATGTAGGGATTTATTTTTTGAAATGCAAATGTGAGTTATAATCAAATATAAGTGATTCTGTGTTCAAAAATGAAAGTGAGGAAGGAGAATGGATTGAGAGACTTGTTTCTTTGTTAGACTGATTAAATGAATGCAACAGACAATGAAGGCATAGGGTACTATAATTGCTTTCTTTAACTGTAGTGTAGTAAATAGGGCATGCAATGAAAAGGCTTTAGAAAGTACACAACTTAGCATTACTAGGGATTGAACCTTCAACCTTTGGACAACACATCCGATGTTCTATCAATCAACCTACGGCAGTGGCCGTACCCCATCCATATCATCTGTTTCCATCTGTGTGATCTCAGGAGTGAGATCTCTCATAATCATACGGTGATTTCGGGACGTTAAACCCCACATATCGCCCCGCCGCGGTGGTCCAGTGGCTAAGGCACTCGGCTGCTGACCCGCAGGTCGCGGGTTCAAATCCCGGCTGCGGCGGCTGCATTTACGATGGAGGCGGATATGGTGTAGGCCCGTGTGCTCAGATTTGGGTGCACGTTAAAGAACCCCAGGTGGTCAAAATTTCCGGAGCCCTCCACTACGGCGTCTCTCATAATCATATGGTGGTTTTGGGACGTTAAACTCCACATATCAATCAATCAAACCCCACATATCAATCAATCTTGGGAGTGTAAGCTAGTGCCACTCATAGCCATGGCAGCGAGTGCGGAACATTGTTTTTGAGCTCTAGATGCCATTGCATCGGATGCAGACACATGCATCACAATGACGACCTGCCAAGGCACCCATTGTCCTTTGCCTTGATGTTGTTTTGGCGGTACATCGTGCGCTTGACATCTGGTGGCAGTGTCAGGTGGCCCTTTTCGTTTGGCGGTACATCGTGCGCTTGACATCTGGTGGCAGTGTCAGGTGGCCCTTTTCATTTTGTGTGAGAAAAGGCTTCATAATGGTTAATTTGCCATCATGCGTGTGAAAGTATGCTGCAATGCATGCTGCAGGTGTCGCTGTGCGACTCGGAGATGCGTGCCGTTCGTGCCGAGGCCTCACAGCTGCAGGAGCAGCTGCGGGAGGTGCAAGAGCAGTTGGTCCTGGATCAGGCTTCCCACCAGGCACAGGCAGGCCAGGCGGCGCTGCAGCGCACACAGGACCAGACCGACTGGCAGCGTCACCTACTGCATAAGGGCCAGGAGCTGCACCAGTTGCGGCTGGCTGTGAGCACAGCCCAGGGAAAGACCAGTGCTCTCGAAGCTCACCTAGAGGCCGTGGCAGGTCTGCTTGCTTCTTCCCTGAGCTGCCTCACTAGAGTGTCACACCCGCAGGCTCATTGCCAAACACTGCTTCGGCTGGTCAGGAAAAAAATGAGAAATCTCAGTAGCCATCAACAATTGAAAAGAAGCGAGCACTCCCATCACTGTTAATAAAAAAAAATTTCGGTGTCTCTGCCAGGCGTTGTCTATTCACAGGAATAATATGAGGCATAAATTCTGTGTATCCATTGGCGTGTGCACCTGCTTAACTCTAGGAAATGTGCATTGAACCAATGACACCGCGGTGCGGGATTGAACGGAAGGAATTGGCGTGCTCCATGCAGCAGCCCACCCGTAAGCGAAGGCGTGTCAGGCTGTTTGCGGTGCTTCGTAACATTGCATGGAAATTGATGGGTCGTAAAGGGTGCCAATAAACTACTTATATGAGACAAAGTTTTTCAGTTTTCCGCCCTGAATGTGCTTCAGAAATCGACAGGAACACTGGATAAGTGTATGTCGCATGGAGCAACTGGTCCACGGGGATGCTTATGAAGTAGATGCTGTAGCTATTTTGCTGCTTCACACTACATAACTGATATTTATTCTGTGTCGAAGGAATAGAGATGCAGACGGAAAAGTCACCTTGAGTCTGCCGTCCACTATTCATTGGCAGAAAGTAATTGACAAATCTAGCAATTCTCCCTCGTGTGTTGCAGCTGCTCTTCAGCCGTATCATAGTTTGTAAGCAGTAACATTAAGGAACAAGTCCTGCAGACCAGGCGAAGTGCGTCGCAGCCCATGAGAATTTAAAAATTTATTTCCCATGTATTCCTTTAACGGCACTGGGTGTGCAAGCAGAGCTGCGCCATGTCATTTTAATGCACTACGTAACAGCTGAGACATCGCGTACAAAGCTATAATTTTACTCAAGGACTTAGGCACGACTTCAAACAGAGCTAGACTACTGCCCATATTACCGGGACACAATTGTTGTCGAACATGTGTCATACACAAACTTTACCCCTTACTCAACAGTAGGCAGATAAAATGACAAGAAATAATGTTTATAAGGATCGATGGTGATGGCTTCAAGCATTAAGCCAGCCAGGTGCATGAATTTCTTCAGAACACTCTGTTGCATGTCTGTGCTACATTCCATTGAAAACACGATTGCATCCACAAATTTGTTTTTTTTTTGTAGTTTGAGCTCCCAAAAGTATTATGCCTGTTAACTTTCTGGGAGCCAGCACCGTCACCCCTTGCGGTGCTGGCGACGCATTGGTGGGGTGGACTGCTGGGCCTGTGGGTGCTGCAGGTTTCGCTTATATATGTGTGTGCGTGTGTAGTTGCTGTTTATGAGTGCAGTGATGGTTATTAGGGCATGTCATTCATAGAGCTGTGCGAAATAGAAAAATATTGGGTGCAAAGCAAATTTGAATATTAGTTTCAGTGCGAATCGAATATTTTTCGAATAGTCAAATATTTCAAAAACCCAATAAAAGTTTTTCATCCATCCATCCATCAAATATTTATTCAATATTTTTTGAATTCTTCAAAGTGAAATTACAAAAAAAAAAATGGCCCCGTATCTGCATTTTACTCTGCAAATGTCGTTGAAAGACAATAGTCTTGCATGTGGAGAGAGTGAACAAGACATTTATTTGATGTTCTGCACAAGAAAATTGGTGAATGGTACAGTAAAAGCTCGTTAATTCGAATTCCAGGGGAACGCTGAGCAATTTCAAATTAAACCTAATTCGAAATAATGAAAGCGGGCAAAAATGGGTGGATTTTGGGGGTGGGGGCACGAAAAATATTTATTGGCCAAAAAAGTCGGTGATGACCATCTGCTTCTTTTCTCTGAATGCCACAGCTGCGGCTCCCTGTACCAGCGCGCGGACGTGGCGCAGGGAATCCTCTTCACCCTCTTCAAAGCAGAAGAAGAGACGCGCCACATTAAGTGCCTCCATCACCGCAGAAGCTGATGGGCGCACAGGCGCTTCGTCATTTTCGTCTTCCTCACCTTTTGGCTCTTCAGCATCAGGCTGCGCACCGGCTACTTGAGCGATAATGTCCTCATCAATCAGGGCACCACACACCGATGCACCGGTGTCAACTTCAACATAATCGGCAAAACGTACGCCCCGAAGAGTGTCGCGCAATGCCACTGGCATGAGCTCCTCAGCCCCATCCACGTCGACGTCACAACTATCCTGCGCACTTCCAGCTGCAAATCCACTGTGGCGGAAACAGTTTCCGATTGTGGTCGCGGTCACCTGTTCCCATGCGCGCACCAACATGTGCATGGCAGTGAGCAGCGTAATGCCGAAGTCCTTCCTGTCGCCCGCGCACGAAATCATTCGTGAACGGACAACGTGCTCGAGGAACAAAGCGACGCTGCCGGGAGCGGCCTAGGACTGCTAGGACTACTCCGCCGACTCCTCAGCGTCCCGTGGGTCCCGCGTACAAGTGGCGCCAGGCGCTCAGATAGCGGGAGGGCTACGAAAAAAAAAAATTACTCCCTAGATTTTGGAGGCCATACTTTGCTCGCCCTTTGTTCGGAGGCCACTTGAAGCTTAAAAGACTGGTCGTGCCACCTATTCATCATCATCATCATCATCATCATCATCAGCCTGACTACGTCCACTGCAGGACAAAGGCCTCTCCCATGTTCCGCCAGTTAACCCGGTCCTGTGCTTGCTGCTGCCAATTTATGCCCGCAAACTTCTTAATCTCATCTGCCCACCTAATCTTCTGTCTCCCCCTAACCCGCTTCCCTTTTCTGGGAATCCAGTCAGTTACCCTTAATGACCAGCGGTTATCCTGTCTACGCGCTACATGCCCTGCCCATGTCCATTTCTTCTTCTTGATTTCAGCTATGATATCCTTAACCCCCGTTTGTTCCCTAATCCATTCTGCTCTCTTCTTGTCTCTTAAGGTTACACCTACCAATTTTCTTTCCATTGCTCGCTGCGTCGTCCTCAATTTAAGCTGAACCCTCTTTGTAAGTCTCCAGGTTTCTGCTCCGTAGCTAAGTACCGGCAAGATACAGCTGTTATATACCTTCCTCTTGAGGGATAGTGGCAATCTACCTGTCATAATTTGAGAGTGCTTGCCGAATGTGCTCCACCCCATTCTTATTCTTCTAGTTACTTCAATCTCGTGGTTCGGCTCTGCGGTTATTACCTGCCCCAAGTAGACATAGTCTTTTACAACTTCAAGTGCACTATTACCTATCTCGAAGCGCTGCTCCTTACCGATGTTGTTGTACATTACTTTCGTTTTCTGCAGATTAATTTTAAGACCCACCTTTCTGCTCTCCTTGTCTAACTCCGTAATCATGAGTTGCAATTCGTCCCCTGAGTTACTCAGCAATGCAATGTCATCGGCGAAGCGCAGGTTACTAAGGTATTCTCCATTGATTCTTATCCCTAACTGTTCCCATTCTAGGCTTCTGAAAACCTCCTGTAAGCACGCGGTAAATAGCATTGGGGAAATTGTGTCCCCCTGCCTTACACCCTTCTTGATTGGTATTCTGTTGCTTTCTTTATGAAGCACTATGGTAGCAGTTGATCCTCTGTAGATTTCTTCAAGAATGTTTATATATACTTCATCTACGCCCTGATTCCGCAGTGTTTGCATGACGGCTGATATTTCTACTGAATCAAACGCCTTCTCGTAATCTATGAATGCTATGTATAGTGGTTGGTTATACTCTGAGCATTTCTCTATTACCTGATTGATAGTATGAATGTGGTCAATTGTTGAGTAGCCTGTTCGAAATCCTGCTTGTTCCTTTGGTTGATTGAATTCTAATGTTTTCTTTACTCTGTTAGCAATTACCTTTGTAAATAGCTTGTATACTACAGAGAGCAAGCTGATCGGCCTGTAATTCTTCAAGTCCTTGTCATCTCCTTTGTTATGTATTAAGATGATGTTAGCGTTCTTCCAAGACTCTGGTACTCTTCCCGTCAGGAGACACCTCGTAAACAGGGTGGCTAGTTTTTCTAACACAATCTGTCCTCCATCTTTCAGCAGATCTGATGTTACCTGATCCTCACCAGCAGCTTTGCCTCTTTGCATGCTCTCCAAAGCTTTTCTGACTTCTTCTATCATTACTGGTGGGGTGCAATCTGGGTTACTGCTAGTTCTTATAGTATTAAGGTCGTGGTTGTCTCGGCTACTGTACAGATCTCTGTAAAACTCCTCCGCTATTTTAACTATCCTATCCATATTGGTAGTTATTTTGCCTTCTTTGTCCCTTAGTGCATACATCCGACTTTTGCCTATCCCAAGTTTTCTCTTCAATGCTTTGACACTTCCTCCGTTTTTCAGAGCGTGTTCAATTCTCTCCATGTTATACCTTCTTACATTGCACACCTTACGTCTATTAATCAATTTCGAAAGCTCTGCTAGTTCTATTTTGTCTGTTATACTTGACACTTTCATGATTTGATGCTTCTTAATTAGGTTCTTCGTTTCCTAATTAAGAAGCCACCTATTCTTCGACCGTAAAAGCTTCCACTAGTCTTGGACGATGATAGCGCTCGGCGGTGCGCGCTTCGTAGAGGCAGCAATTTATGTTCGAATTAACGAATCGTTTTACACATGGTCTCCTATGCACTGCTGACCGGACTGCGGCGACCATTTTGAATAATCCAAAATTTCGAATTAATGAGGTGTGAATTAACGAGCTTTCACTGTATTTTGGAGACGCTGCGTTAGAGTGCCTCGAGCCTGCAGCGGAGGCGAACGAGTGCATCAAGTCACGTCACACGTGAGACATGAGCGCCATCTAGCAGTTTTCTAAGAAAACAAAGCGCGTGGCTCTGAGACAAGGAGGCCCGCTCGTCTCAGAGGTGATAAGATGTAGAACGCAAGGCGACGGGTAGGTGCCACCACAGTCTCATCTTAGCGAAGCGTTGGAAACACTCGCTTTTCCAAGCAAGCGTTGCATGGTCAGTGCAGCATGATAAGTGCTACGGTGCTTAAAATTACTTATGTATGCCTTTTGTAGTAACAGCCACACATGCAGAATATATATGTGTTGTTATGGTGCCCCTGGCATGCGCAATAATTGCTTTTTAATTGACAATTGCACAAGTATGAACGCTCAGCCTTGAGCAACATTGGGGGGCGCTGTGGATGGGGCAAGCCGTTTAAAGTACCCAATGCCGTTAAGAGTGGACAGACAAATGTACATACAGACAGACAGATTTGCGTTAAAGGTCCCCAAGAAAGACTATTGTCTTTAAAAGTTGCAGGCGATCCCTAAGCACATTCTTATAAAGTATGAAAATGGAAGTGTGTCTTTTGGCTAGGTTGGCAAACTGCTGGAGGGATGATGTTCCTAGTTTTGTTAAGAATAAGGCAATGTAGAGATCGAATTGCACATATTTACACAATTTGGTGCGACCAATGTGGCGTTATAAACACTATATGCATAAAAGGAAAAGACCCTATTTCCTCCATCTAGCCCTTCAGTTTTTGTAGAGGTGCAACTGATTATGTTGGCAAGGGTGTGCACCCTTCGAAATCAGAGTTGCTGGTCTGCCCTGTAGATGTCAGTGTATAAAAATTTGTGCCATTTTGGATACTAAAAATTTTAGTCCAATTTTTTTCTGACTTTTTGGTTCAAAACGGCATTAATTCAAGCCCCCACTTCTGCCGCGTTGGTTCAAATCACTGCTTCCATTGGTCAATCTCTTTATGGCCGTAGCGGAGCTTTAAAAGCAGGTGTACTTTGGTGCATAGTGAAAATAGTGAAATAGTGAAAGTTTAAAGCATAGTGAAAATATGTAGGACCCACAATAATAGTACAGTGTATTTATTGTAGTGGCGCAGTGTATTTTCATGTTGGAACCAGCGTTTTGTTGGGTCAATACATTTGCAACTGTAGCAGAGTTTGAAAGGCAGCTTCACTGCAATGCAAGATTGAATGGGGTAAAGTATACAAAGAATTTGAAGGAGCCACTGCCAAATAAAGGTTGACTGTATTTGTCTTCAGAGTTCAAAATGTTCAAATGGTAAATTTTTGGTGTAAATTGAATCAAATTGCAAACACTATTCCCAAAATTTTCAAAAGTTTGAATATTTTGGGAATACTCCTAGTCATTTATTAAGTTCGTTATTAGTATTATTAACTTTCTTTTGTCTCTTGTTTCTTCATTTTCAGCTGTGAGTTCACTCATAGTTAAATACATACAGCTGTCATATTTTTATGTTCCAGAGCACACCCTTTTCTTCTCCAATTCTCCTCCATAAAGCTTTCTAACGGGCTGGCCCATCATTGTGTGTTTTCACTTCCTGTTTGAAATAAATTAATTAAATTTATACCTGGATGTTCTTTTTCAATAACTGACAGTGGAATGTGTGCAATGGTGCTCATTTTTACAGCTGCTCTTGAAATGTCTATACTTTGCCGTTTTTGTGTTTGCGAGCCGCATTGCATTTGCCGTCTTTCAGAGTCACGCCAAAGAGCTGAGGCTGCGCTGTCCTCCCTGCTCAGTGCTTTGCGCAGTGCTCTGGGTGTGACGCCTCACGAGGCCGAGGCTGGTGGTACAGAGGAAGGGCAGCTGGTTGTAGGGGCAGTCCAGGGCCTCATGGGTAAAGTGGTCTCTCTGGCCAATGACAAGGTGTGTGTTCTCTGCTCAACATCAAAGGTTGTGTTTCAGGACTCAACGTTTAAAAGAAACGTATGCTGCAGTTGAAGATACTTTGATTTCTTGAGAGAACAGGTATGATTCCACCATATTTACAGGATTTGAGTCGACCCATCTTATCTAAATTCAAGATGAAAAGTTTGGGGCCGACTCAAATTTGGAACCAAATTTTGCTACGCAAGTTACGACAGAAGAAACAAAAAAATCACAAATGAAGTAATATAATTCTGACTATATATATATGTTTCGACTCGACTTGTAATACCATATTTACTCAACTGTGATGGGTGACTTCTCATTGCGTCCAGAAAAAAAAAATAGTTAATTTAGTTTTGGTATTATATTTAACGTGAGGTTCAACATTCGCTAGCTAAAATTTTTAGGCTTGTGTGAATAGTGAATTTTTGGGCGAAGAGAATAGTGATTTTGATAGAATAATTTTGAGTCAAATTCGAATGGTCTGTATGACATATAAAAGAAAAGAGAATATTTATCATGATGCAACTAACCTGCTCAATATTTCTTTTAAATTGAAATAGGTGCTCTATGCAAATGCCATTAATTTTTTCGTTCAAAGGAAGTCTAAACAACCTGGAGTAGTAGTTTTGGTAGGATGCAAGTGATAACCCGTAAGATACTTAATTTTAAAATTTGTTTTACTTTGATCATATAAGCAGTCATAACAAGCTTAAACAAATAAAGAATTGATTTGAGGGTAACATGTTCCTTTAAAGGGGCCCTGCAACACTTTTTCAAGTAGGCATGGAGCCAGTAAACATGCTTTTTGCCTCACAAATTTACTGCAGCAATGTTTCTAGAATCAGTCCAGTATGAGCAGAGTTCCAAAAAGTGGCAAAAATGTTTTGTCGCACGCTGCAATTGCATTTTCTCTTCTCGTGCCGACGAAATAGCTGAAAGCTAACCAGGGAGGAATGACACGGCGAAAGAAAATACTCCACACGCACCTCGTGACCTTGAGCACCTCTTTTTTTTTTTTTTTCGAATACGGGGCTTTTCAGTGAGATCGCGCATGTATTCGTGGACAAGCGGCGGTCTCCCGCGGCGGCCCCGGTAATGACGAGCGCGCCATGCTCAAATCGGCCAATGGCTGTGACCAGAGCTGTATATTCCTTCTTGTCTGTGACAAGTGATTTTTGAGCTTGTAGTGTCATTTGCAGAAGAAAGAAAGCAATTTTTAACTTTGAAAAATTATTCTGAACTGCAGGTAACGTGCTGCGCTACAATATTTGCTTCGCGTGTTTTCGGTAGCCTTGACTACTGATCGGCAGCATTTTCTGACCATGTTCAGTAAGTGTTGCAGGGCCCCTTTAAATTTAAAAGGGGTCTTCACAAAGAAGCGAATTTTTTTGGGGGGGTAGGTGCTTTCACTGCTTAGCAGCCTTACATTGCGTCGAAACTACCTTTACAGGCAGTGACATACGAACTAATATACATCATTTCGTTCATTGCGAATACTTCAAAAATAATCGGTAATTTAAATTTGAATTGAAGTGAATTCGAATACTCAACTATTCGTTCGAATATTCGAAGCATTCGAACGAATATTCTAGCTTAAAAATTTTGAAAACAAAAATAAAAATGGAAATTTGGATTATGCTCAAGGAAATGTGGTACATACCACATTTTCTTGCTTGTATTCTGCACCTTTAGCACAAGAATTTCTAGAAATGATCTCCGAGTAAGGCTACAATTCTAGCTTTCTCGTACAGCTGGAAAACACTGCCATAAAGCCACCTTTGCACATAGCAATTCACATCTTATTTTCTTGACGTCACAAAAGACGTTCCAGGGCTAGTTTGTGATACCCTCTTACTTCAAATATCACAGTGGTACTTTTTGCAACGATAAGAAATAAAAGTGCGTAAGGCCAAATATTCTAAATACAGAACCAGTGGCCATCCTTCATGCCCTTCTCTGTCTGTTTCTTACTGGTTGGTGCACGAATTTACTTCACATTGAAAATAGGTATGCCGAGGGCACTCTTAAAGACCAGCGGGGCATAGAATTTAAAGCTATATAAAAAGGATAGCGAGTGAGCACATGTAGTCAATCTAGTGACTACGTAATTAAATTTACTTTATGAAGTGCACTGACACTTTCTTTCCTTGCTTGGTGATGTTGGAATCGGGGTCAAGCTACCGTATAAACCGTACTATAGGTCGAGTGGGAATATAGGTCAACCCCCCAAGTTCAAGTTATCGAAAAAAAAAAAAGAAAGAAAACAACTCAAGATTGCCGAACGACATTTATTTGCGAATTCGGCGCACCGCACCCCGATCGCCGGAGCTCCTCTCAACCACCATCGTAACTGTTGCTATTCGTCAGACGAAGCACCACTGTCTTCTAAAGACGAGAGTTTGTCGCTGGCCTGCCTCCCACAGTGCGTTGTCTGCCATGCCATACAGCGAGTTGCTGATGGAACATTTCTTAAAAGCATTTTCCACCATGGAATCTGGCTAAGAACGCCAGGCAGAAAGCACCCAGCCACAAACAGTCGCAAGCGGAGGCCTCTGTAGGCTGCCTGTCGTGTCTTTGGGTTGTCACCAAACATCCACTTTTGGTACTCCAGCCACACTCGGTCCTTGAACAGCTTGTTTAGTACGTTGATCGGTTGAAGGGTGGACGTCATACCACCTGGTATCACTGGGGAGGTCTGTTTTCATCGCCCAGTGCGCGCTTCACAGCGTCGGCTAAGTGACCACAAAACGCATCTAACACCAGCATGCTGCAAAGATGCAGCTGTGCACCTGGCTGATGGTTCCAGACTACTCCTATCCATTCGAGCATCATGGCCTCGTCCATGTATACCTTTTTGTTGACGCGAGCGACAACACCGGGCGGGAACACTTCCTTTGGCATTGTCTTACGTTCGAAAATGACAAAGGGCAGAAGCTGTCTACCATCTGCCATGCATGCCAGCATGACGGTGAAGCGCGAGTACTCGTTGCCAGTGGACATCTTCATATCCTTGGCGCCACGCTGCATGATCATGGTCGATGAAGGCATGTCAAACTACACATGGGTCTCATCGGCATTGTCGATCTGCCCCATCACGTAGTTGTTCTGCTCCCGAAGCTGGTTCACGAAGCCCTGAAAGTTTATAAGCTTGTCCTCAAACTCGTCTGGAAACTTCTGACAGATGGATATGCGCCACCAGAAAGAAAATTCTTTGCGTCTCATGAATCGACGCACCTAATAGTTTGGTGCTTGAAACTCTTCTCTAATGAGCCCAGCTTCTCGAGTGAGTTCCACAGCTTTCTTGTGTATGGTATCCACAGTTACTGGCAGCGAGCACGCATGAACTTTCCACACAAAGTTCTCTAGCGTATTTTTCAGCTGCGGATGAACCCCACTTCGCCCACGAAACGACATTTTCCAAGCATTGCACACCTGCAGCTTCCTTTTCTGCACCCTCCAATGGCGCACGCTTTTTTCTGATACACCAAAGCAGCGCTGAGCAGCCATATTCCCATTCGCTTCTGCAAACTCAACAACCTCTAGTTTAAACGCAGCTGAGTACTGCCTTCTCGTACAGCTACTCATGTTCAGTGAATGAAAAGAAGACCACTAAAAATGAAACACAATGTCAAGCGGATCGAGAACTTAGAACAGATCGGAGGCAAATCATGAACACAAAAAAAAACCGGCAAGAGAGAAGAAAAAAAAAAAACAACCTGCTATTGGATTTGAATGCGAACATGGCCGTGTCCAGCTTCTCATGCACATGCAAACCTCATGTTGCCTGACAGCGGTGCACTGTCGGCTAGACACCGCTATGTAAGACGAGGGGCGATCTTAGCTCGTCGTTTTATTGAAAATATCTCGACTTAAATTCTGGTTTATACGGTATATGCAAGCTGACCTGCAATCATGCCAATGTGGTATGTGCCTTACACCACAATACACTGTTTTCAGAAATCTTGAAAATGACAGTGTTTAACTGTATGTTTGTTGTACTGGTGGTAGCTGCATAACTAAGCCTTGTGGGCTTTCTGCCATGGTCTTTCTTCATTCCTGCTCTGAAATGATGAGATCTAGCTTCTGTCATTAGATTGCTTTGATTCTTTTCAGGTTGTTCAGAGATGTGTAGTTGAAATGATGTCAGACCCCAGTAGAACCTCCTCAAAAGCTTTGTGGCTTTGTTGAAATGCTGTGTAGGCCTATACACAGTGCACAATGCAATTTTTGTTGTTAGACATATTGCCACGTTCCATTTCCCAAGTTTTTGTTATCGTCCCAAAACACCACACGATTCTCAGCGCAAACTGCGCCTGCAGTTTTCGAGAAGGTTCCGGACTGTAGTAGATCATTTCGATAAGATCACGCCCACTGTGCGAACGGCTCAGATTGTTCTGGAACCTACGCCTCCGCCAGCGATAACGCTAGAACATTCGACGGCAAGAGTATAAATGCCGACGCGCTTCGCCGCTTGTCAGTTGTTGATCGAAGGCCGACGCTCCGTTCACCGCTATCAGTCCGAGACTGCTATCTGTGCGAGACTGCTGCTGTAATTGGACTTACCTTTTACCGGGCACAGGTTCGCCCAAATAAACAGTTAAATCCCAACACGAAGTCTCCTGTCTTTGGCCACGTCACGACCCCGTGACAATATCGACCAAATCTTGCTGTTGCAGGGCTCAGGCAAGGTTTTAAATCGTGCCTTATATACACATACCTGCCAGCTTTTCCGATTTTCCCGTAAAATGGTCAAATTTCAATCGCACTTACAATTTCACAAACCTTTCCCGAAATTTTACGAAAAATAGTTCATTTCCAATTTAAAAAATGAAAATTAGTGAATTAGCGTGGCCTTCACGATTTTCTACGACGCGTTGCCATAGTTAGTTGCAGAGGCCTCAAAAACATTGTTGTGCTATATTCCCCCACCTAGAGAGACCAAAATGTATTGGTGTTATCATCATCACATACCTGCCAAGCCTCCCGCATTGTCC